GCAGCAGCAGCAACTGCAGCAGCAGCAACTGCAGCAGCAGGAGCTGCAGCAGCAGCAACTGCAGCAGCAGCAACTGCAGCAGCAGCAACTGCAGCAGCAGCAACTGCAGCAGCAGGAGCTGCAGCAGCAGCAACTGCAGCAGCAGCAACTGCAGCAGCAACAACTGCAGCAGCAGCAACTGCAGCAGCAGCAACTGCAGCAGCAGCAACTGCAGCAGCAGCAACTGCAGCAGCAACAACCGCAGCAGCAACAACTGCAGCAGCAAGAGCAACAGCAGGCTCTCCCGGATACGACGGATGACCTCGCCTTTGCTATTTCGCTGCTGCTGCAGGAGGGGCAGCAGCAGCAACGATCGCTGCTGATGGTCCCGCCAGGCCACGAAGCAGATCCAAAGACGCTGAAGCAGCAGCAGCTGCTGCTGCAGCAGTTGCAGCAGCTGCAGCAGCAGCAGCAGCAGCAAAGTGACGACCTGGATCCGAAGCAACTTCTTCACGAACAAACAGTCTTCCTAGCGGCACTGCAGCAGCAAGACCTGCAGCATCCACCTCTGCTGCTGCAGAACCAGCAGCAGCAGCAGCAACAGCAGCAGCAGCAGCAGCAGCAGGCTGGCTTTGTGCCATGCACGCGAAGCAACAGCACGTGCGGCCGCACGACGAGCATTTCAGGTATGTCTGCAGCTCCGGTGGGCACCAGCAGCGGCGACAGGAGCAGCAGCAGCAACAGCAGCAGCAGCAGCTGCCAAGGGGACCAAGTGTTTGATCTGCAGCTGCAGGCACTTCTTGCTGAAGCCAAAGGCGTTGGTTGGAACTACGATTTAAACGACTTAGCTGTGTCGCAGCAGCAGCAGCAGCAGCAGCAGCATGCGCTGCAGCCGCTGCAGATCTTGCCGAACAGCAGCGGCAGCACGAGCAGCAGCAGCAGCAGCAGCAGCTGCAGCATGGTCGACAGAGCAGCAGCACACCTGGAAACCCTCCCCAGACTGGGGTCACTGAGCAGCGCGGATCACTGCACTGATGCTACAGACGCACCAAGCAGCAGCAGCAGCAGCAGCTGCTGCTGCAGCAGCAGCAGTAGCAGCAGCAGCAGCCATCAGGCTGCACAGATAAACCAGGGCAGCGGCGGAGATAGCATTGGCGCCGCAGCAAGGTGGGCGACGGCCACCACAGGCAGAAGCAGCAGCAGCAGCTGCAGCAGCTGCTGCTGCAGCAGCAGCACCCCAGGCCAGAGGCTTTCTCGTAAGCAGCGGCGGTTGTTGCGCCAGCAGCAAGCAGAGGAGCAGCAGCAGCAGCAGCATCCGGCGCAGCAGCAGCAGCAGCAGAAGCAAGGACAGCCGAAGCAGCAGCAGCAGCAGCAGCGGCTGTCCAAGTGCAGCACGAGTGAGCACGAGGGCTCTCGCTACGGCCCCGCCGACTGGGGCCGCCAGCACTACCTTCAGCAGCAGCAGCAGGAGCAGCAGCAGCAGCAGCAGCAGCAGCAGCAGCTGTTCCTGCAGCAGCAGCAAATGGGCGTTTGCTATGTCCCTGGAGTGCATGCAACTCAGCCCCTCCCAGGGGTGTCTTGGCTGCTGCCGGGGCCCCCGGGGCCCTCCCCCATAATTGTGGGGGCCCCCTGCAGCACTTTGCACTCAGCTGCGCATTCGGGGCCCCAAGCAGCAGCAGCAGCAGCTGCTGCTGCTGCTGCTGCTCCCACCACTGCTGCTGCTGCTGCAGGCGCTGCTGCTCCCCCGAGCTACTAGTGCTGCTGGGGGCTGCAGGGCGGCGAAGCACTTAGGAAAATAGGCCCAAGAGGGAAGCAGCATTTGGCGGGCTTGGCCACGCCGCTGCTGCTGCTGCTGCATGCAGCAGCAGCAACAGCGGCTGCTGCTGCATGCAGCAGCAGCAACAGCGGCTGCTGCTGCATGCAGCAGCAGCAACAGCGGCACTGCTCTGCAGCGACCGCATGCAGCCGCACTGAATGAGCCGCAGCAGCAACAACTGCAGCGGCCGCAGCGGCAGCAGCGGGAGCTGCAGCAGCAGCAGCCTCCGTAGTGCTAAACGCGAATCGTTTGTTGCTAGAGTTTAAGCTGTAAACCCTAAACCCTAAACCCTAAACCCTAGTACTGGCCCGCCTAAAGCAAAGCCCTTGGCGGCGCCGGACTCTAAGCATCGACAGAACTCCAAAAACTTGGACCTACAGATGCAGCAGACAAACCCTAAACCCTAAACCCTAAACCCTAAGGCCTCTGCCTCTTCGTAGCTGTCCACAAGGCTAGCCGCAGCACCAGATACGCACCAACAGCAGCAGCAGCAGCAGCAGCAGCAGCAGCAGCAGCCTTGGCAACTGCTGCTGGGCCTGCGGCCCTTTTCCCTCGTGCAGCCCAGAACTCAGAGGCCCCTGCTGCACTTGCTTCAGCAGCAGCAGCTGCAGCAGCACCAGCAGCAGCTGCAGCAGCACCAGCAGCAGCTGCAGCAGCACCAGCAGCAGTAACAGTAACTGCAGCAGCAGCAGCTGCTGCAAACCCTGTTCTGGATGTTTGACTACTGTAGTGCTGCAGAGCAGCAAAAATGAAATGGTTGCTGTTCTTGCTGCAGCGGTTTCGAGCTGAAGGCTTCAGGTGTATCTACACCCCATTGCTTCACGTGGCGGAAGAGCAGCAACAGCAGCAGCAGCAGCTGCTGCAGCAAGGCCACACGCTGCTGCTGCTGCTGCTGCTGCCGGACGCTTCGCTTCAAAACTGATATACTGCTTGCTCTGTTGCTGCTGCTGCTGTTTTGCGCTTTGTTGCTGCACCACCAGAGATTGGCACAGTGAATGCTTCAGCAGCAGCAGCACAGGACCTTGCTGCTGTTGTTGTTGCTGCTGCTGCTGCTGCTGCTGCTGCTGCCAGTGTTGGTGCCCCCTATGCTCCTGCTGGAGGCACAGAAATAGGCGCATGCTTGGGCCTTTTGGCTATGGGCTGCTGCGTTCCAGTTGTAGGTGCTGATGCTGCTACGGGCGGCGCAGCAGCAGCAGCAGCAGCAGCAGCAGCAGCAGCAGCAGCGGGAGGATCTGTCGCAAGGAGCCGTTTGCCCGCGACGGCAGCAAACCGCATGTCCAGCGACTTGAGCTGCTGCTGCTGCTGCAGCGTAAAGGCCTCCAGCAGCTGGACAACTACATCTGCAGATTGCTGCTGCAGCTGCTGCACAGTGGGTGGCGCTCCAGCAGCTGCTGCTGCTGCTCCCTCGGGCGCTGCTGCTGCTGCAGCTGCTGCTGCTGATTCAAACACATCAACGAACGACAACTGGTCCCTTGCGAGGGCGGCTGCCTTAGCTGCTGCCGCCCGCAGCAGCGGCAGCAGTGCAGCAAACGCCGAGTTACGCTGCTGCTGCTGCTGCTGCTGCTGCTGTTGCTGCTGCTGCTGCTGCTGCTGCAGCTCGGTGTGCTGCCTTTGGCGGCGCTGCAGCAGCGGCGACACCGGGTCCTCCTGCTGCTCCGCGCCGGCCACCGCAGCCTCCACGGCCGGCGCTGCAGCAGCAGCAGCCACAGCAAGCCTCGAGTCTGCTGCTGCAGTTACTTGCTGCAGCTGCTTCACCAGGGCCCCCAAAGAGCCGCAGCCCCACGGCCACAGGGGGCCCCTCAATGGGGCAAAAGCTGAGCAGCTGGCAGCTAAGGATTCGGCGAGCTTCTGCTGCTCCCTGCGGTGTACGTACACCCCACACACACACAGGCAGCGCCTGCAGCAGCAGCAGCAGCAGCAGCAGCAGCAGCAGCGGCAGCAGCGGCTGCTGCTGCTAGGAGCGGGCGCACACTGCAGCTACGGGGAGTGAGGGGAGTGCTGCAGCTAAGGCAGAAGTCGGGGCAGCGGCAGGTCCAACAGTAGCAGCAGCTGCAGCAGAAGCAGCAGCAAAAGCTAAGACTGCAGCAGCAGCAGAAGCAGCAGCAGCAAAGACACAGCTTGCTGACTGGTCTTGAAGCGAAGAGCGCAGGCCCTGAAGAGAGGACTTCAATGGCGCTGCTTTTGCTGCTGTGCCCTGCGGCTGCTTCTGCTGCTGCTGCTGTTGCGGCTGTTGCCGCTGCTGCGGCTGCTGCTGCTGCTGCGGCTGCTGCTGTGCTCCTGCTGGCGCTGTTACCACGCGCTGCCGCTGCTGCTGCTGCTGCTGCTGCTGCTGCGGCTGCGGCTGGGCTTTCGCTGCAGGAGCGCTCGGCTGTTGCTGTGGCGGAAAACCGGCTCGTGGCTTTTGCTGCTGCGGCGCAGCAGCAGCAGCAACTGTCACTGGCGCACGCGGCTGCTGCTGCTGCTGCTGCTGCTGCTGCTGCTGCTGAGGCCTGGGCACAGCTTTGGCTGTCTGCTGCTGCTGCTTCACTGGAGGTGCTGTCAGCTGCGGAGGCGGCGCCTGCGGGGGCATCTTTGCTTGCTGCTGCTGCAAGGGTCGCACAGGCTGCTGCTGCTGCTGCTGCTGCGCTGGCAAAACAGCCTGCTGCTGCTGCTGCTGCTGCTGCTGAGGTGCTGCTGCTGCTGCTTTAGGCAAAGAGGCAGGCGAGGGAGGGACCGGAGGTGCTGCTGCAGTTGTGCGGGGAGCTTGCTGCCTTTGCTGCAGCTGCTGCTTTTGCTGCAGCTGCTGCTGCCTTTGCTGTTGCTGCTGCAGTTGAAGCTGCTGCTGCCTCTGTTGCTGTTGCAGCTGCTGCTGCTGCAGCTGATGGTGTTGCTGCTGCTGCGGGTGCAGCCGTGCTCCTGCTGCTGCGCCCGCCAAAGGAGGTGCTGCAGCAGGAGCTGACTGAGACACAGGAGCAGCAGCTGCTGCTGCCTTAAACATTTGGGGCCTCCCCTGTGCTGCTGCAGCAGCTGCTGCTGCAGCGGGTGCTGCTGCTGGTCGAGGTCCCGCTGCCGCTGCAGGTGCTGCTGCGGCTATTGGGCGCACCCCTGCTGTTACTGGAGGTGCTGCTGCTGCTGCTGCTGCCGGCGCTGCTGCTGCTGCTGCTGCTGCAGCCTTTGGTGCAGCACGTACTGCTGCAGCTTTGGCCTTCACAGGTTGTTGACGGGAAACAGCAGCAGCTGCTGCTGCAGGAAGCTGCTGCCGCTGGGGAAGCGCTGCAGCACCAGGAAGCTGCTGCTGCAGCTGCTGCGGATGCTGCTGCTGCTGCTGCTGCTGCGGATGCTGTAATTGCTGCTGCTGCTGCTGCTGCTGCTGCTGCTGCGGCTGCACGAGGTGAACAGTAGGCGACGCCTTGGCAGCAGGGGAGATTGCACCAGATTTCGGCTGCTGCTGCTGTAGCTGCTGCTGCTGCTGTTGTTGCTGCTGTTGTTGCTGCTGCTGATGCAGCGGTGGAGGCGGTGCAGGCTGTCGCATTTGCTGCTGCTGCTGCTGCTGCTGCTGCTGCTGCCACTGCTGCTGCGCCGCAGGCCTCTGCTTCTGCTGCTGCTGTGGCTGTTGCGGCTGAGCTGGGGGTCGCCGTTGCTGCTGCTGCTGCTGCTGTTGCTGCTGCTGCTGTTGCTGCTGCTGCTGCTGCTGCTGTTGCATGTGCTGCTGTAACGGCTGTCTCGCTGGCACGGTTTTTGGTGCTGCTGCTGCTGCTGCTGCTGGTGTTGCTGCTGCTGCTGCTGCTGCTATGGGCCTCTGCGGCTGCGCTGCAACCTTCGCAGTCACAGAGCGCTGCTGCTGCTGCTGTTGCTGCTGCTGCTGTGCCTGCTGCTGCTGCAGCTTGTTCTGCTGCTGGGCGACTCCTGGCTGCACCTGCCCTACCTGCGTCCCCTGTTGCTGTGGCTGCTGCTGCTGAGGCTGCTGCTGCTGCTGCTGCTGCTGCTGCAGATCCTGCTGCCGCCTGGTCTTCGGATCTGCTGCTTGTGCTGTAGAGCTTGTGGGGTCAGAAAGCCGCCGGGGGGTGTTGCTGCCTGCTTCCCGCTGTAGGTGCTGCTGCTGCTGCTGCTGCTGCTGCCGCTGCTGCTGCTGCTGCTGCTCCTTTTCCCGCTTTCTCCGCATCAGTTCTTCAAAGGACATTGGCGCATCGAAGTCGCTGCTGCCAGCAGCAAACGACTGCGACACAGCAGGTGCTGCTGTTGCTGCAGCAGCAAAGCTGGGAGACGCAGCAGCAGCAGCAGAAGCTGCAGCTGGAGCAGCAGCAGCAGCAGACATGGACTCAAAGCCAGGCGAAGGTGCCCGGCCAGCTGGGGTAGAGGCCATTCGAGGAGCTGACGTCCGCTGCAGCAGCAGCTGCTGCTGCTGCAGCTGCTGCTGCTGCTGCACGAGGGAAGGAGGCGGCTGCTGCAGCGCGTGCTGCAGCTGCTGCAGCAGCCGCCCCTGCGCAGTGCCTGGGACCTTCTTGACGGGGTTCCCTCGCTGCTGCTGCTGCTGCTGCTGCTGCGGCGCAGGCTGCAGCAGCTGCTGCTGCTGCACTTGCCGCCTCTGAATTGGAGGCGGCTTTAGGCGGCCGTCTCGCGCAAGGCCCCCTGCTGCTGCAGCAGCAGGAGCAGCAGCAGCAGCAGGAGCTGCTGGGGTCACAGCTCCAGCAGCAGCAGCAGCAGGAGGGGGGGCCCCGGGAGAGCCCAAAGCTGCTTCTTGGGGGGCCCCCTCAGCAGCAGCAGCAGCAGCAGC